GATGCATTTGCTAAACCTACTCGCTTCGCTGACGTGGGGTCAGCCATCTTGACACTCATAGGGAAAAACATGTTTCTCCGTGGCAAAAGGAGCAACGTTTCTCTATTTAACGACGAACATTGGGGACATAGTCGTTTCTTCATAAATAGAGAAAGAATCACTCGATTTTTTAAGAGTGTACTGGTGGCATCCTTCACAAGCACCACTGGACGAAACCACGACGTCACCTAAAATGACCAGTATCGCCCCGACACCCATGCACGGACGACACTGCCACGCCTGTGTTTTGAACTGGACAATTCTTTAAAACTTTCTTTACTTTGTCTTGTATTTCACTTTCCCTACTTACTTTAACTCTTTTCGTCTACCCTTCTTCAGTTTTCTTATTGGGCATGTTAATGCCAAAGCCTTCTCTTCTCATATCTTATTCAAAAACGCTCCGCAGTCCACTGTGCTCGTCGACCCAACGCCGTAGAACCCAATAATGGGTAATTGTGCCCACGATTTTAACGCGATAGCGTTAGATAGCTCTTGTCGCCGAAAATCCGCCGTCGGTGTCGGTACAGTTGGTTGCGAGCGAAAAAATTGTCCGTGAGCAAAAAAAAACGAGAAAGAAAAAATTATAAAATAAATAAAATTTCGGTTTAAGTGAGGACCAAGCCCACGACGTTCGCATAGCAAGCAGGTGTCCTGCCACAGAGTCACGTTGTTGCGTGCAGCTGCTCTGAAAAAAAAAACACTATATCAATGCCACGTAGTGGAGTCTCTGGACGCATTTTGTTCGACAGGTGTCACGACGATAACGAGCACATTCGTCGATGTGTAAGAGCATTTGGGAGGCCATCAAACTACGTCGAAAAAGGCCAGGGTACTGCAGCCATCGCAGCTAAAAACACACATTAACTTTCAAACAGGTCAAAAAATGAGCAGTTATGTCTATTTACCGAAAAACATATCAAGATTTTCCAGAAGTGCTGATCAAGACAACAGCATGTGCTAAATAAATGTGTTGGCATCTCTGAGGCATTGTAGCTTTCTCTATGGCCTCCTGGGTGACAAGTGTGCAGCCTCTATCTTGGAGGCCACGTGAATCTTGCTTTGGATAAAAACTTGTATGTACCATTCCCGCACATGTACGCGCGCGCGCGTGTGTGTGTCTGGGTGCCATCTGTAAGACATTGTGAAAAACGTGTCTCGACTACAGCAGAGCGTTGTTCTAGCAGACGGAAGTGGCCGCATTGCACAGTCTGGCTCATCAATGAGCAATTGGGTAGCGCCTACGCACAATTCATAATACAGGACCATGTGACTATAACACTGTACAATGTTTTCATGAAGTTGTTATAAATGTGCTGATATATATATCGAAAACTTGTACCATTACTATAGATACGTCGCGCTCTCACTTGTTTATGTTTCTATTGGCTTTTTGTGCTTCAGGTTGATTTTAAAACCCCTTATCAATTATTTTCAATCGGCTTTTAACCTGGTATGCTTCGGCAAATACAGGTTTTTCCACGACTTCAATAATCAACTTATGTTGTCCCAACAACGGGAATGAAGTTCACTGGGGCTGTTTCCGACATCGAATTCGGGAGAAAATGTATCGCCGTAGCTACTGACTACCTCACCCGCGACACCGAAACAAAGGCTCTATCTATAAAGGTTGTGCCGAAGAGGTAGCCAAGTTCTTTGTTACGGCATACACAATAATAATAGGATTTAAAGACAATAATGCCATGGAAAATATAGGGGAAGTTATTAAACCGAATGTTGTGTAAAGTTGAGAAAAAAAAGTGGGTGAAAAAATAACTTGCCGTGAGCAGGAACAGAGCCTGCGACCTTCAAATAACACGTTCGATGCTCTACCATGGCGGCTATCCTCCCCGCCACTTTATTAGGTACATATGTGAATTTAAACGTGGAAGTGTCGCCCCGCCGCGGTGGTCTAGTGGCTAAGGTACTCGGCTGCTGACCCGCAGGTCGCGGGTTCAAATCCCGGCGGCGGCGGCTGCATTTCCGATGGAGGCGGAAATGTCGTAGGCCCGTGTGCTCAGATTTGGGTGCACGTTAAAGAACCCCAGGTGGTCAAAATTTTCGGAACCCTCCACTACGGCGTCTCTCATACTCATATTGTGGTTTTGGGACGTTAAACCCCACAAATCAATCAATCAATCATTCTAATGAATAGTAAACGCTTATAATGTGCGGAAGTGAATAATAAGCACAATTGACAAACGCGTTTGTGATTGTGTTAGTTCTTCTGTTGCTGTATGAAAGTATGAAAAACATACTTTTCTGGACAGTTCTTGATAAAAATATGGACGAACACTCTCTGCATGTTCGGGGTTACAGCACTCACTTGTCACATGTGCTGAGTCAATGCCCTCTTTTTTTCCACTCTCTACAGCGTTGCGCCCTGATATATATCAGGGATTGAAACAGCTGGAGCAGTAAAATTATGTTGTAAGACAGCGCCTTGCGTCGTCATAATTCTTTACCGTGCGTCCTTGTGCTAATTGTACACTGTCGTGAATGTCTAATGAGCCCAAGTCACCAAGCTTACAGAATATTCATGTTTGATAGTTGCAGTGATGTCCAGCTGGCAGCTGATAGAACGAAAGAGCTAGCCAGAAAACGACACCGTTATATCTAAGTGACAAGTTCGGCGCATCACAATTCAATGGTGAAGGTTGGTCTGGCCACCATTTTTACGTCTCAGGCGGGAAGTATTGGCTGTGTCTGTGGGGTCTCTGTCGTGGACGCTATGACTCGCCTTGCGGGGCTGTCGAACACTCTGATGGGCGACCTTAGCTGTCTCGTGGTGGCCGGAGCATGTTTAGCAGGCAATTCAAGTTGGCACAGTTTGGGGCACTGGTCTTCTTTCCCATCGGCGTTCTGGACAGACTGCGATGCTCGGCCATTATGCTTTGATACAGAAGCCTCTGCGCTGCCATCTCTGCCTTCCCTTCACCTGCGGCCCAGAGAAATCAAGATGCTCCCTTGTGGTACTGTGCCACGGTGTCTAGACAGGTTAACACCACCATAGCAGCACATCACGCTGCAGACACCTGAGGCATATGAAAGCGCCACCTTGCTGCTCCGTGTGAGGTGGTCTCTGTCTAGCTGATCCACGTCAGATTCCTCTTGACGAAGACTGCCTCCTGGTGATCTGCACGGCATTCAGAAGGGCTCGAAGTCATAATAAATTGTCTGTAATTTCCAGTGGGGCCATACGCCGGTAGGCCGGAAGGGCTCATGTTGACTTCACCTGTTTGCGGCGCATCGCTAGTGTCACTCAAGGCGTGTTGAGCATGTTCTGATAAAACAGGCATATCGTTCATTAATGTGTCTTAAGCAACCATGGATTCATTGTGTGAAGCACTCTCACACTCAGTCGATGACTGCCGTGTAGTAGGCAAATCTCCCACAGGCTGATCAGTGAGTCTGCTCTCCTCGCTGTGGTGCATTTGTGACAGTGGTATTCCAACTGGGGAATTTGGCACTTAGAAAAAGTTCAGTGCCAACCAGTGGAGCTTTACTCGGCCGCTATTTATGGTAAGTAGAACTTCACCAGACAAGATATAATCAGCTCCAAAAACCATGTCCCCATGGAAGTTCTAGAGGGAAGAAATGGCGTCCAGGAACACCCTCCCGGCTTTGTTTTCTATGTGTAAGTCCTGCGCGACGATAGGCATAGCGCTCCCTGCGAGACCACACAAGGGTGCCTCGGACCAGGGCTGGAGGATGACCGGGGCATGGCGTCGATGTAGTGTAGTACGTGGAGCTCCTGTTTGTACGGCTGCCGTAAACTCGCCGATTCCGTTGACGCAGACTTGTACTGTAGGAAGTGCCAACGTTGGGTATTTGGCAGCTCGATGTCGCGCATGTGTTGATGCCACGTTGTCCATCCAGATACCTCACATCGGGGACGGAACGTTTTTCTGGTCTGGATGTGAAAACTAATCGAGTCTAGTGTCTGTGCGCTGGATGGATTCAGAACGTACTCTCAATGAGCTGCGCTGATCAACTGCAGCCTCGAGGATGAGCCCCTGCTTATCTTCATTCTCGGTAGTCTGCTTGGGCGAGCATGGATCATGGTGGATCCTGCTGAAGACGGAGATGAGCCTTGCACTCCATGCCAACCAAGTCAGTTGCTTCATATGCCCTCGCATTTGCGCCGCGCCTCGGCACCACCACGAAGGTGGCTGATGGTTACTTCGCATTTAAAATTTTCGGGCCAGGTATGTCGAGAGCCGAGGGTATTGATAGTTGCCACCCACATATCAGTGTCATCTTGGAAGCCTCGGAACTCCGGTACTTCCGAAAGGGTGGTATATGGCGAGGCGCCCAGCCGGACCCGAGAGCTCAACGACGCGAAGAGATCAGTCTGGTGTGGCTGTTGCGTGAGAGTGTATAAGAGGTCTGCGCATTTTCGGGTGAGGAAATTGAGCAAGAAACCACGTCCACGCCTTATACGGTGGTTGTAGCACTCACTGAGGAAAGGTGCACGGTGAAAGAAGCATGGTCAGCTTCCTTTGGCGGCTCAGATGAGGGTATTAACTTTCTTGTGCGATCCACACGTTTGGAAGCGTGAACCGTGTTCTCAAGAAGGAGCCTTTACGCATAGGCGTGTAGTAGCGCACCGCTCGTCAAGTAGTTTGCTTGGACCATCGTGGAGGGCTGGACGCCGTCCACTGTTGGTGGGATGATTATTTGCGGTGGTGCTTGACTTGTGGGTATCCACGAGGAAGCCTGACAGCGTGCCTCTGTTAAGCACGTTGCATCTATCTAGCAGCTAGGGTTCGTCAAATTTTTAGACTACTATGCCATTGTAAGAAATAAACAAGACGGAGGCAGCAGCTTTGCTGCAGGCCGGCTATTCTAATATCTTCTTTCTCTTTTTTCCTCTAGCCGGGTATCCACCCGTGCCTGAGCACTGCTTTTGTCATCATTACAGTGTTTAGTAGCGTAGTGCAATAAACTGCGTGTTCAAACAGGGTGATCCCGGACCAAGAGGACTGGCAGGAAGAGATGGATCGCAGGGAGTGCCCGGTCATGTAGGTGCCCCTGGTCTAAGAGGCCCACCAGGTGAAGCAGGGAAGCCGGGAGCACCTGGCAACCCGGGACCAGCAGGACCTCCTGGAAGGCCGGGGGAACCCTTCGGTTACGACGCCGCAGCCCTGCAAGCAATTTTGGGGTGAGTGCTATTAGAGCGTTCATGCTCACCTAAATTTCATCCCGAAAGCTCGGTTTTAGTTGAGTTCACCTTGTACTATAACAAGGCATGCTCTACTATGTTTTAAATGCATTACCGTTAATCGGGACAGCAAAGAATACTATGCTTGCTGGCGACGCAAATTACGTATTTCGGTACTTTCGAATTTTGATCTCCGTGACAGTGACACGTGCTCTGCGAGAACATAGGCGGTGCTTTATCAGACATTCTTTTTTTGTCTATGCATAGACGTTTTGCGCCATGCGTAACGCGTGGTATAGGAGAGAGGTCACTGGGTCTGTTAAAAAACCATTTGTGGCAATTTGTAAATCGTTCACGAAGAACGACTTGTGTGTCCACTTCCACTGTGGCGTAAAGGCCTAAAAGCACGTGTCATATGCAAGTGTAAAAAGTCTGTATCGAAAATAAAAATAAGGTTGTGATATGCGTTGTGATAAACGTGTGTTGGAGGAGTAATGAATGGCTTTGGTATCTACAATAATCTGTAGGAAGGGGCAGATGCAAGATTGCAATGAAAAATCTGTGAACAGAGGTTGTGCCTAGCCGATGTTTTGGGAAGCAGATTTGTCTTCCTTAATGCTGGAACAGAACTAATTTTATGGCGCAAGCATGTCTACGCTTCGTACCCTCTTCTTCCTCCTAGCAAAAGAGGGGGAGGAACAACATCGCATGCACGTGTGTGAAAGAATGGAGAAGCGGGTGGGTTGTGACAGATCGTATGATTGAAGAAGAAATAGAACTGCCGTTCTCTGTCAGTTCTTTTTCTACAGCGGGAGAAGACAGCCGCTGGCAGCTGCGTAAACCTCCCTTGACGACAAACCCTTGTCAGAACAGTCAGTGCTCGGCATGACCTGTCTTCGCACAGAAAATCAGTGAAAGCCATTTTGATATTTTGCGTAGTAGTGGCCTATTGAACAGCCTATAGCTTCCCGCTTACTTTTTTTCATGCTGTTTTTCACTTTGTTTCTCATCTTTCTTCCCAATTCTCTTTTCCCATAGTGTAGGGTAGGAAACCAGATGTCCCAATTTCTGGTTAAGCTACCGGCCTTTCTTTCGTTTTATTCTCTGTCTCTACTCACTTTTTGTGCCTCAAGCGCTGTGATTTGGTTCTCATTTCTATGCGACATTAACTTCTTTTACAACAATCATTCGCACCTGTCCTTTACACCATAAAACCACACACAGGTGTATCGACTATGCCGACAAAGACAAGGTCACATTGACGCGATAGAGTGCCGCCAAAATGCGCAGGCAAGTGCACACACACAAACACACACACACAGATATATATATAAATATTTAAAAGAATTGTGAACGCTCAGCAAGAAACCAGCCTGTGCACATCCAACTGTCGGTGTAAGTCCACATCCGGTTCTCATCACGTGCTGGCCAGTTCTCGACGTGTGTCCGGCCACCCAAGATAGTCGCCACGGTGGCGGGAGGGGTCCGCGACAGCGGACGGACGTAAGGAAAGAGCTTCCCCTTAATAGGTCGGTCGGCTCTTTAACTTTGATCTTCGCCCGTTTCACCTCAATGGCCGTCAAGTGGTAGGCGAGCGTAACCACTTTTTATGTACACGTGAGGAAAAATTATATAAGAAAAAAAGCAAAAAGAAAGAAAAAACAAAAAAGGACAGTGTACACATCGAGTCAGTCCGAAAAAACAAGCATTGTCTCCAGCTAAGAATATTTGTCAGCAATTTGCTCCTGCCTTATTTCTCGGAGGCTGGAGAGTCTTCTGGGGTACTCTTTCATGCTGGCTACTAATGTTCTAAATTAGAAAATAAAATATGCCTCATGCTGTTCGCGCTCGTGCCTGTTTGAGAAATTGAACTGTAAAAGAGTTACACTGATGTTTTCAAAACTGTGGTTTGAAGGGCACAGATGTCTAGATAAAGGTAGCTTCGGCAGTGAAATGGCGTGATACCAATTATTATTGAACCGCAGCCGAAATTGTAGCATGTATTTTACATTTTAAATATATATATATATATATATATATATTTGCACTGGCATGTAGTAGGTGTGAGACTGTAGCGTGGCTAGTTTCGTCATTACTTGTGCATGCCGAAGAATTTGGGCTGGAGAAAGGCGAGGACGAACTCGCGCTGCTCAGTCGAAACTGTTCCGCTGTTTGCCGCAGTGTTGTTGCTTGAACTAAGTTTATTACCATGACAAACTGGTGGAGGTGCTGGGTACAATTCCAATGCACTAGTTTGACCTCAGCCGCTTCAAGCTAGTGGCACCACTTTAACGATTCCGTAGAAAGCTAGTGGCACCACTTTAACTTGGCACTTCACCTCAGCCACCGCTTGCTAGGACTACCTCCTTATTTTTGCCCTTGAGCTCAACAAGAATGACCTCGACAATAACAAGTCAGACGCAAGAGAGCAACATGGACCACCTCACATCCACCCCAAGCGTCGTCTACACAACGCGCTTCCTCAGGCGTTTCATGAGTGATGACTGGCTAGACCAATTCGACCGGGTCACAGCCGCCAACGAATGGAAAGAAACAAAAAAATCGCTACGTCTCTTTCGCACTTGAAGACTATACGAGCACCTGGTATGAGAGCCATGAGCCATCTGTCACCGACTGGCAAGAATTTCAGCGACAGCCTTCTACGAGTTCAGAAATCTGGAAAGAAAAGAGAAAGCCGAGCAGGCTTTTCTGAGCCACGTTCAGACGCGAAATGAAAACGTCGCTATGTTTGTCGAAGACATGCCACGCTTGTTCAGACTTGCTGAGCCAGATATTGAGGAGATAAAAAAAGTTCGACTTCTCCTGCGGGGTGTCAAGGAGCGACTCCTTGATGGACTCATGCGTAAGGCCCCAATTACTGTCGATGAGTTCAACGCTGAAGCTACTACCATGAATTGAGCCCTTCAGCAGCGCTCTCTGCAGTATGACCGCCAAGCCTCTGTCGCCGCGGCGTAACCTTTCACGTTGGTTAGGACTTAGCAGTACTCCGCGAGCTTGTGCGGAGCGTGGTCCGCGAGGAGCTTGATAAAGCTCTCCCCACTTCTACTCGCCCGAGCGCGACTATTCTGGGTGACATCAATTGCAATGAACTCAGAAAGGTGCCCCAATCATTTCTCCCAATACGTGTGGAAGCTCCTGCTCTGTTTTAGGCCAAAACATTGAGAAGTCCTCAACCTTCTATCGCACGCCAGCAACCCTCTACTTTTTCATCATCGCCCCGTTAATTGACTGCTGCAAATGTCTATGAGAGCACTTTTCATCGTGACGTTCCACGCAAAGTCACCTGTAAATTTGTCGTATGGCACACCTCTGACAACAGGTCCGTTTGCTACCACTGCGGCGAAGCGGACCATCTGTACGCGAGTGTGCGTATTGCAAGATATGCCTTCAAGGGTTTCAACTTAACGCGCGTCGACCCAGCAATGGGGAGCGTCCCCACGCGATTCAACACTACCTCGCACACTCCCTATTCAACAAAGTACCGGCCACGCTATTCTTCAGCTCGGCGCCTCAGCTCGCCAAGTCGTTACGCTACGTTTTCTGGTGTTTGAAAAATATCCCCAAGTCTTGGCCCACGCCAGTAAAACTGAGATCAGCGGCCTCCAGATGTGCGGTCGCTGTTGACCGAACTGACACACCCTCCGCCACAACACGTTTACGACACTGATTTCTCTGTCACGAAACTTTGTGAACGTGACGCAGCAGTTTCCGCCAATATTTCTATAACCGTCCACAATCACTCGGCCACCGCACTTGGGGATACTGGCACTGATTACTCCGTTATGACTGGCGACTTCGCAGCTGCTCTCCAAAAAGTGATGATGCTGTGGAACGGTCTACAGCTCCGTACCATGGGTAGTCATCTAGTAACTTCGGTTGGGAGGTGCACTGCCCGAGTACATAGTGGCAATTCGAACTTCATCGGGACTTTCACCGCGCTGCGGTAATGCTCCTGGCAGGTCATCTTGAGATTAGAATTCCTTCGAGAATATGGAGCTATTATAAATCTCCGGGAATTCTTGGTGACGTTTTCACGTAGCGCACATCATTACAATTGCGAGTCGCAAGTGATGGCGTTGAGTGTATTCGACGATTCAGTGACAGTACCACACCGTTCCAAGTGTTTTGGATAACGTGCTGAGCGACATCAATCGAATGGATCTCAGAGTTGTGGAATGCAATGTGTCCATGCTTTCTTCTCGTGAAGTATGCGCCCCCCGCGGCTTCATACAAATGACACCAGAGCATGCGAAAACTCTACCAGCAAATTTCAGTCATGAATGCCAGCCCTTCTTGAGGCAATGTGTCATCGCTCATTTCGAAAAAAATCACAAACTCGTGAGCCAACTCTCACTCGCCAACTCTCTTTCAGTCCTCACAACGACAGTCTCCGGTTCAGCATGATGTGAACTGTGGACCATGGACTTCAAAGCAAAAGAGTCTTCGCTCCCTCGAGCTTTCCTTCAGTGAGTGCTTTGCAACGTCGTCCACAATCAAACAGACGCCCGTAGCGACCCACAGAATCATATCAGAGACCAAAGAGAGGCCTACTTGACAACATGCTTATCGTGTTTCTCGCAGAGAACAAGACACCATTCGAGACCAAGTGCAACAAATGCTTGCTGACGACATATTTCAGCCATCTACTAGCCCATGGGTGTCACCGGTTGTGTTGGTAAAAAAACGGCACATTTTGTTTCTGTGTTGATTATCGCAAACTGAACATCGTGACAAACAAAAACATTTATCCGCTTCTTCGCGTCGACGACTCATTCGACCACCTTCAAAACTTGCGATATTTTTGATCCATAGATCTACGCTGTCGTTATTGGCAAATTGAGGTCAATAAGCATGACCGGGAAAACAACGCCTTCTTTAATCCTGACGGGCTCTTAGAATTCAAGGTGCGTCTTTTCGAGTGGGCGTTTCTCCCGCGACATTTCATCGAATTTTGGACACAATATTGTGCGGTCTAAAGT